TTGAGGGCTTTTCCCATTTTGCTTTACATATAAACTAACTTGTATTTTTCAGGGCTATTGTTGACACCCATGTCACAAAGCTCTTGTCTTGTCAGGCAGAATGTGTTTGTTTTGTGTTTTGAACAAGTGCATGAATACTGCTTGACATTTAGTGCTTTAAAACTTTTTTTAGGAATTGGGCATAGTGGCACTCACCTTTAATCCCAGCACTCAGAAGTCAGAGGCAGGTGGATCTCTCTGTGAGTTCAAAGCCAGCCTGGTGTACATAGTTCCAGGATAGTTGGAGCTATGTAATGAGAAAACAGTTTTATTATATTTTAATTTTGTGTGTGCCTGCATGCCATGGTGCATGGGTGGAGATCAGAGCATAACTTAACAGGAGGCAGTTCTTTCCTTCCACCCTGTAAATCTGGGAATCAAAATCCAGCATCAGATCTTCAAAGGCTTTACACACGGAATGCTTTTTAATGAAAAAGAATGGCTTGACACAGCAGAGTTGCTGAGTGCGCTTACTTGACAATGTTCCTCAAGATTCTTTGAGCTGTGGGCTTTAGTGACACCTAGTGGGCAGTAAGGATGTGAGCATCAGCGCTTACAATGAATTTCATAATGGACTTGGACTTTGGGGCACGTTGTTTCTATTACTGTTTTCATAGGATCTGGTGGTTCTGGAAAATGAAAAAGGATTTAAATCTGTGCTGTTGCATGGCAGAACATGAAAATGCTTCTCTTAACACTAACAGGACTGTTAAGGTTAGATGGGTTTTAAAAAGCACTTCATTGTGCCTGAGCTCCCTTTAAAGTTTAGAAAGGAACTGAAGGGAAGAAGTAAAAAGTGGTGGATGTGAAGTCACACATAGGTGACGAACCTGAGCATATGCTTCTCTTGCCTGTCAAGACTTTTACTCTCTATAGCATTTAATGTGTGTGTGTGTGTGCACGCGCGTGTGTGGTTTGTTTCAGACCTTAGTCTAGGTGGAGCAAATATTAGAGGAAGCCTCAGTAGAACCGATTCTGATGTAAACAGACAGATTAAGAGAGAGCTGTAGACAAATTCAATCCAGCGTCCCGCTGTTAAAGCACTGAACCTGCCTAGAGTGTGTAGGCTGGCAAGCTCCAAGCTCCGGGAAGCAGAGGAGTTGCTTAAGTGGAAGGAGATGGAGCAGGTTAGATGAGGCCTTTACCTGTAAAATCATGTCATTGCCCTAGCAGGACAGGAAGCTTCCTGGTGTAAGGCAATACTTTTGGAAGACAAAGAACTGGTTTTAAAGGAAACTCCCCCACTTCAAGGCTTGTGGCACATAGTTTGTTTAATCCAGATTTGGATACATCAGGGTACAGCAGTGGCACAGGACTCAATACTGTAAATGATATACATGTTATAACATATGCACTACAGTTTCAAAAGAAGACAAGAGACTTAAGAACTTTTTCTTTCCCCACAGAAAGTTTTCACATTTGTCTTCCTGCAGTTTTATACAGTGTATTTCTTTGCCATTGTGATGTTGTTAAGCAACGCCCAGTAATTATACGAAAATAGAAAAGAACACACTTGATGTTTTTCACAAGAACATTAATGGGAGCTCATGACCTCTAAGGAAAACATTGGAATGTCTGGTTATCAAAAATATACCATCCCTCCCACCTCCCTGGTTTGTAAAATAGTCCATTGGTCAAAGGTGTCTCCCAGGACTTGGGTCAGTGCCCTGCGCTGACTAATGTGTCATTAGTCAGCATAGTTTAAATAACCTGCTAAGATAAATGTCATTCCCACACGAGAAAACAGAATATCCTGAATAAAAAACAAGACCCATAAGGAACCCCTTTTAAAAAACATTTCATTTTTCAAAGCCACTTTCCCCAGGTTCTAACGCTTTTCATGATGCTGTTTTGGGCTCCAAGTGTCATGGGTCCTAACAATGTTTTTCCTCTGTCTCATCATCTTAAAGCTTTGCAAGTAGCGAGAATTCATTACAAAACCAGAGGAAAAATAAAAGTCTCTTATGTTCCTCTTACAGTGGTTACCATGCCAACTAGCATGAAAGGGAAACTATTACCTCAAATGAACAGTATTGGGATCCTTACTTAGCTACCTAGTAATTGAAGTGAGGGAGCCTGAATCACTAGACTCCATTAATAATTTCAAATCTAATGCTAACTCAATTTCAATCACTACTGCTATTTTTAAAAAGACAAGGAAAACAATCTAGGCATATAATGATCCCAGGTACTTCCCCCACCTGCATTCTGACAAGAAAATGACGTGACCCTGAACTGCAGGGGAAACAACTGTATAACGTCCCAGTAGTTCTGTATGTGACTCTTGTCAGCCATGGTTCATCATTTACCATCCTCCTTAACATCTGTTCAAGTTATGTGGTCATAGATTAATAATGTTTAATTGTTGAGAATATCTACCGGTCATTTGAAAGGGGGTTCTGTACAATTAGTCCTGAGCTTGAGACTAGTTAGGGAAAATGGGAATTAGGAAGAAATAATGGTCTGTTTTAGGAGGTCCTGCTACTTGAGGGATGCTTCCCCTAGTCATCACCCTTGCAATCCAGCTTTTAAAAATATGAGCAAACCTTAGAGCCATAGAGTAGGATATAGAAGACAATCCCAGGACATGGAATCTAAGTCCTGGATCATATCATAATGCTGCCATTAACTTGCCATGAAACTTTGGATGAGTCATTCAGTTTCTTTGTGCCCATTTCTTTTCTCTGAATCAAGGATTTACTAAGTTGACTACCTTCACAGATTGTAGTAAGAAGCAACAGAAAGGTATGCTTTGAAATGTCATTGTCCAAGCCTTGTTTTCCATTGAGAATATCGAACATTTGCCTGAAAAATCTTGGACAGTCCCTTTTCACCTATTTCTTAGAGAACTGATCCATAGCTTGCTCTACCCAGGAAATGGTGGCTTCGATGTCTGTCATTTGTATTAATATAGTCAGGTGACTTCCAGGGCTACATCGAGTTGGGTTGACATTTACAGAAGAGTGTCTCTAGTTAAGTCATGGCATTGTTGATGGACCTTCCCCAACTCTTCGAGGCAAAGGGTGTGATAAAACAACAACAACAAAACACCCCAAACAAAAACACATTAGACTAGTAGCCAAGGGTCTTGTGCTCTGGTCCCTATTCTATGCTTGCATGGCTACATTACCTTGACTGAGTCAAGTTCTTTTTCTACACTGGAAAATGAATTAGCTATTATTTAGTCTTCTCGAGGTCTGGTATACTCAACATTATATTTTACAAGTTATTTCCATTTATTATTTGAATGTAGTCTTAGGCTTTTTATGTTTGTCCTTTTGATACCCTCTCCCCAGTACTAAGTAGGGCTGAATGGAGTGGTGGAGTGGGGAATTTTTGGTTATTTCATCATGGTTTGTGCATCATGAGTCATTGCACCAGAAAGCTGTTGGTCTCCAGAAGATGCTGATATCCTGGTTCTTCACTTACTAGTTGATGAGTTAGACTTACTAAATTGATCCAGCACACTTTTGCCCCCATACTTAATCATAAATATCCTTTAAGGAGATATATAGCTGTGAGCTGTTTTCCTGGGTTAATATTTTTGGGCACAGGTCCACAGGTCCTAAAGATATCTTTGAGCTGGGTCCCTTATCCCCTGCCAAGACTGCAATGGGGGAATAAAAATGAGTTAATGCTTTTCTTTTTATAAAGAAACTGGCATGATATGGGCTTGGAAATGAAATAGAAGCAACACAAATATTCAGTTCACTCAAGTCAATAAAAATGGACTTTTTGGGATACAGTTTTTAAAATACATTTCTTTTCATGAGAACTATAATATGCTGTGTTGGTGTACTGTCCAAGTGACATGGAGATCCTTGGTTGAGTCATTATCCTAGCCTTGTAATGACGTTCTTAAATAGAATGGTGGCTTGTATGTGAAGGCAACAGTGTTCCTTTTAAAATATGTATCCTAATCTCTCACTCAGTTCGCAGGATATATCATACACCTAGACATTCTTTTGTCCCATGATCCATTTTTTCAAAAGTTCTTTGCCTACCTGCTAAAACTGGGTTCAGCTTGGCTCTCTACCTTGGCTGATAAGATAAATGTATGGAATTACTGGGTTGTAAGTGTAACTCCATTGCCATTCTTAGGGGCAATCCTGATCTAGAGAAAGGACTGTCAGCAGCCACTGAGGATAAGGACAGGGGGACAAAGATGGAAAGAAGGACCACCTTTCTTTTGCCTTTCTGTCCACTTTCTGGTTTTATCAGCATCACCTCAAATTACCTGGACTCCTCTGTGTACAGGGTCACTGGAGCTGGGGCCTTGGCAGCCCCATGAGGACTTTCAGGCCCCTGGCTAGTAAACTCACCAGGTTGTCTGTAATGGGTAGAGAGATTTTTGAGCTGCAAATGATCAGCTCATCTGTGAGCTGTAGAATGGACGAGACCGTTCCTAAGCAGCTTATGTGTCTCAGATCCCAGGCTTCAAAGACTAAAGGAAAGGAGTTGGTGTTGGAAAAGGTTTGTGTCACCTATCACGTGCCCCACTGTAAATGGTGAAAATGATTAGGAAAATTCCAGAAATACTGTTTCCCAGGCCCACTATCATGTAAATAACTTGAACAAACATATTATCCACATTTTCAAGAAGTAATCTCCATTCCCTTGTTTGTATGGAGGTCACTACTGTTCTCACACTTCAGCTATCTTCAGAGACCTCAAGGCATCTTTTAGACCAGGAGAGAATCATCTAGAGCCTCTTGCTTGCTTTCTTGCTTTGAAACATCCTTCATGAGGCACACAGGCTTAACCCTAGCGGCCTCTGTATAGGAACTGCCTTGGGCAGGAAGTCCCTTGTTCTTACTGGAGATGCTCACGGAGCCTCTTGGCAAAGCACTGCATGATGGATCGATCCTAAAGGAGGATACATAGCAAGGTGCCCTAGAGCTCTGGCAGCTGTGAGCTGTGGTGCCGTCTTTACTGGGGAATAGCCGAATGACTGCTTTCTGAAGTTGCTATTTCCATTTTCAAGACCCAGTGTGAAACCCGTGACCATTCTCCAACTCCCTGCCACAACAAACTGCAAAGACAAGTGGTTCCAATCCCAAGGGAAGCACCTGTGTTCCTAAGGTAGACTTACCTCACCCTTCAACTCGCCCCAGGTGGCTTCCCTCCTTTTCTGTATTTGCATTTGCTCGGCCTGACTCCCAGGCACAGGTCTGCAGTACTTGGCAGTGACAAAGAAGGCTTTACTGTCTGTCCATGGTGAGACAGATGGTTGGACACAGAAACAGCCAAGGTGAAGCAGATAGGTACAGAGACAAAGGAGACAGATGAATGGACAGAGCAAAAGGGTTGCTGTGTGGTTTCTTGACAGCTCTGTGCAGGTCAGCTGGGCAGTGAGGGTCCAGCTAAGGTGACCTCACTCCTCCTGGGAACGGGGAGGGAACTCAGCAATAACTGACTTTGAGCCTAAAAGCTTTTGCTATAAAAGGAGAAAAATAAAAACCAACCTCACAAAATGCATTGTTTTGGTTTAAAGGTGTTGGGTCCACGGAGAAAAACATTTCACAAAAATCAATTGATGATTTTGTTTTCCACCTTTTCCCATGAATAAATATTATCCATTAAGATCCTTGAAAAAGGTGCTTAATACACAGTGTTATATTTTCTTCCTGTTTGCATGTGACGACTTGGCCTCTGGGCTGCTCTTGGTCTTGTGTTTTCCTCACTGGGGTCTCCAGAAACAACTGTTATTTGGTCTGAGGTGCCCCCACCAGGCCCTGTCCAGGCAAGCAGCCTACACCCACTAATGGCCCATCCCCTACCCACCCCCTCCCTTCCTCAGGCCCCAGCAAGATGCAATGTCACAGGGCTGTGTCCACACCAGCAGCAGGATCCTCAGGTACCCTTTGCTGCTTCCTTTCGCTTCCAGGCACAAGTCTCAGTGCTAGGGGTGCAACGGGGTAGGCAGAAATGGTGGGAAAGGGGGAGGGAGTGGTCTCAATGGCCACCCACCAACATGCCAGCCCCCTTTACTCCCCACTACCCCCTTGGGCCCTCTGTCCAGTGTTTTTACAAGGCTGAGACCTTGACAACATTGCTGGCTATGGAAGGAATGTTCGTGTTGGGTCCTGGGCTGGCAGGGGGTGGCCGACTCTCTCCCTCTGGGGTTAGAGCTGGGGGAGTGGGGATGCTGATGATGGCTGTGGTAATCTGGGATGTTTTGCAGTTTGGTCTCAGTCCGTCGTCTGCTTTCAAATTAAGGCTGGAGCGACTGGGATAGAAAAGAGTGAGTTGGCGATGGTTCCTGCTTGTGGCCACCCCAAATCTCCCTTGACTCATTGCACTGATTTTGCTCTATGCTGTGTCAAGGAACTCTACAACCCTTGATCTCTCCCTTTAACAATCAGCTTATAGTTACTATTCTAATCACTGTTAACAATTACTAAGTTAAAACCAGGCATTGGTGGCACCCGCCTTTAATTCCCTCATTCGGGAGGCAGAGGCAGGAGAATCTCTGTGAGTTCAAGGCCAGCCTAGTCTACAGAGCTAGTTCCTGGACAGGCTCCAAAGCAATACTAAGAAGACCCTTCTCGAAAAAGCAAAGCAAAACAAAACAAAGCAAAAACAAACACCCCCTAAAACAAAACCAAAACAAAACCAAAACAATTACTAAGTCATCAGATAGCACTTCTTCCCAGCTCCTGTGGGCTTATCATAACACTTGTGACATCTGCTTTCCCTGAATTTTCTGCAATGTATTTGGAAGTAACAATAACACAGTTGGGAGAAGTATTTTCTTAGGGAAATGATTATAGCCCATCTTTTCATTTTTTGGAATTCTTTTTGAGTTTTCCCCCTACTACCTGAAGCCACTTTTGACCTAAAGTGTGATAGATATAGTAACACCCACCATCCTCTGAAGACCCTAGAATGAACTTTAAAGCATGAGAAGGAAGGCGGGAGGAGAGCAGAGGGACCATGAGGGGGTCCCTGAGGTCCTAGTGCGGAGAGTGTTTAATTCTGGCAAGGGAATGACTCAAGACTTTAGGGGTGGTGGGAATGGAAGCCACCCACCTGGTGGTGAGGGAGGGCTGCTCACTGCCCTGGATGTGGATGGTGCTGAGCTCTTGCATGCTTCGCAGGCGAGTGGCTGGCAGGTTGGAGTTGGGCAGGTGTGTGGTCTTCTTGCTGCGGCGGGAGCAGCAGGTGGTGGTGAGGCCCGAGTGGCTGGACAGAGAAGGACTTCTGGTAGATGGGTAGTTCTGCATTGAGCTCTCCATGCAGTTCTGCTCAAACATCTGCTCATCAATAAACTCGTGGTTCTGTGGGAGGAAGGAGAGAAAGTAAAAAAGAAGAAGGGAGGTGGGAAGCCCCAGTCTCTGTAGGGCTACCGATCTATTTGGGGCCTTTAACGAAGGACCCCCCCAGATGCCTGGGTCACAGGTAAGTGTTTGTGAGGGGTTTCATTTCCACAGGTGTCAATGTCAAAAGACTCAGATGGGCCTCCCTGGCCATTAGACTGGGCAGGGACACGGTTGTTAAATCAGTATGTGTCATATACTCCATCTACAGCTTTGAGCAGAAGGGACACAGAGGACATAGAGGGGCTTAGTGGCATCATCAGAGCTAGAATCAAATGTTTCTTAGTAAGCTCCGAAGCCACTGAACACGAGTCTGCTAGGTTCTCTTTGCACATCTGATGACTCTTACAGGTGTGGTATACATACGTTTGTAAAGGTTTTGGACTATTAACCAAATTGGGGGAGTATTGTTCTGGAATGCAAAGGGGTCAAACTGCTAAGGATAAGATTTCTTCTAATTTGTTTTCCTTTTGCCTGATTACAGCATATGGGCCCTTAACTACTTGGCAGTTTAGGATTCCCTAGGTCAAATGTAAGCATGGGGAAGAAGATTAATAGCCTCTTGTCTGTAAACCATGAGGGTGGTTTATAGATAAACCCAGAATAATGGAAAATGGCTGCTTGACCAAAATGACTAAAACTTTGTGGCATTGACAGTGTGAGGAAAAAAGAGAAGTGTAAAGACAGAATCAGAGAATGTGTCTCCTGGCAGCCAATACCAGGAGTTTGCAGGGAACTGAGGAGGTAGCATAGAGATGTGTGGCACGTGGTCATTCCAGAGGAAACTGACCTTGAAGTTGAGTTCCACTGATCCCTATAAGCCCTCAGAGTGTTAACAGAAAGATAGGAAAGGAAATTGGGTAGTTTAGGTGCAGAAATACTGGAAGCCTGAGCTGGTACTGGGTGTGGCAGCAGAGATAGCAAAAGCCAGGGAAAATGAGCAGCACATGCAGAAAACCAGACTAGGGGCAAGCAGAGTAAATCCACAGACTCAAGACTCAGAGAGAAGAACAATTGAATTAATATACCTTGATGGTGGAGGTTCGAACAGATAACAGGGGATCATCCACAAGATAGGATAACCCCTACAGGACAACATGCCAACAGAAGATAGAAACACCATTGATTGTACATTCCAGCATTCCAGTTTTGACATTCAGTTCCTCCATCCCAGCATTTCACCCTCCAAATTCAACATTCCAGCCCTCATTCCCAGCATTCTGCTTCCTTTGTCCCAACATCTCACCCCTTGGTTCCAATAGGAGCCGCTTAACCCAACATTCACTCTTTCCATACCAACATTCCTCTCTTCTTATCCCAACATTCCACCCCTGGGTCCCACATTCCTTCCCCCCAAATCCAGCATTCCGATATGCCATCCCTACTATCAATCCAACATTCCCTCAGATTCAGCATTCCACCCCTTTAATGCCAGCATTCCACCTCTCAGTCCCCCAATGCCAGCATTCCAGCCCTTCCAACCTCAATGTCTCCACCCATGTCCTTTTAATTTACACATTCCGCCCTGCACATGCAACTTGGAAAGGGCAGTGGGGTCTGGGCTTATCCCATTGGCAAACTCTGAGTTCTTGAGAGAACTTCTAGATATGCATACGTTGTTTTTGACCACAGATTCTTGGGCCTGCACTTGCACAGCACTTTCTCATTTAGAAGATCTTACTGTGTTTCCACTGTCATCTATGGAATCCATTTTTTGCTCAGGAATAAGAGGTATCTAGCAATTGAGAGGTCACGTTATGGGCTACTAGGAATTAGGAAGTTCCTTTCCAAGGTATGCTGAGCCTTGACTCTAGACTCCTTGGGTAGGAAACCTCTAGAAAGGAACAAGGACGAGGTTCACTTTAGCTTTTCTATTCTGACTTCTCCCACCCTATTGCTCCTAGCACTTCTGCCAAGGGTTCAGGGTTGGCCCTACTGCCCTTCCTTTCAGACTGTCAGTAAGGCACAAGCATCATTCCCGTTCCAGCTGTGGCACCCTACGCCATGATCTCCTTTAGCAATTTTCACAATCTGAACTCTCTGCAAGAGTGCAAGGTTACTAAGTGGATTGGGACTGATAATTAATCATCAATGCAGACACCAAGGGGTCCATAGATTGTCTCAACCCAGTTTCAGGGGGAGAACAAAAATCTTCCTTCTTCTCTACTGTCCTGTGTAAATTCAGCCTGTATCTTGTTGGGTGATGCCCATCAGAACTGAGAAATGAAAAACGAAACTCTTAGTCCTCAGTAATTAAGACACATACTGGTGTTAGGGATGGATGGGAAGGCTACGGGGTGGCCTTTTCTCTACAGCTGCAGGACACAACACAGCTGATATCTCACTCTAGTGGCCTTGACTCACCCCTTGGGGTCTTCATCCTGGGTGCTGATAGACCGTGACATTACTCTTTTGCATTGGAAGGGGATAGACTGACTATCTGGCCTAGGATGACAATGTGAGTACAGCCCTGGGAGGTCAGGGATGAAGCAGGAGGGGGCAGTAGTCTGGAACTCACAGTGGTCTTTTCTAGGCAGTGCAGCAAGTGGTGGTGCTGGCTCTCAATGAGTGAGGTGGTCTTGCCCATGTGCTCCTCTTCCGGGGTGCCCTAGTGAGGAAGAAAGAAGGACTAGGTATAACTGGTGCCTTTTCCTCTCTTCAGCCTCTTCATTTCTTCACAGAAGGTAAGAGGGCATGGGGAAAATCTTGATAAGCCAAATCTCAGGGCCACCATTAAAACCTGCTGGCCTTGGTCTGGGGGTTCTTGTCAACAGCTGGATTATGGGCAGTGGTGAGAATTATATGAGAGCGGTGTGTCAGTGGGAGCATGTCTCTCAGAGTCTAAACTGGAGCTTTCTGGGGGGAGTGCTGGTACCTGTGGATGAGCAAACAAGTCTATTTCTGTTTTATGTCCTCTGCCAGGACTTACGGACACCTACCGTCAGCTCCAGGGCCTCATTGAGGAGCCCATTGCGCTTGCTGTGCAGGTAGGCATTGGAGCTTCCCGTTTTGGCCACACGGATCCTGGCAAGGCGGGCCTTCTGTGATGGGTAGACAACAAGAGAGACAATAAGATACAAGAAAAGCAAGCCTGGTAGGACCAGTGACAATAGCTGCTTTTCCTAACATTGTGTGAGAAGGGAAAATAAGTTCCCCTGTCTTACTTAGCCTTATGCATCTCTGCATACAGACCCTGGAATGGATAGGAGACCTGTGCATCCACTTTTGCAGTTTAGCCATGGCCAGGACTCCAGGAATCTTCACAAATCTTCAGCCTGGGTGGAATATTTGTGGCAGAAATACCACATTTTCAAATTCTTTCTCTAAAGCTTTTCTGACATTTCTCACTAGGCACTGCACAATGGCATGAGTCATTCTACTGTTTATTATCTCTAAGGAGACTGTACTGTTCCTAGAGGACAGTGTGTTAACTGTCCTCATTCTTTCCTGGGTTCCAGTGTGGTTGGTTCTTCACGAGCTGTAAGTTCCCAAATAACAGTTAGTTAGGAGAAAAAAGCAAAGAGAGAAACGGCACTGCCAGCATCTCTTAACTCCCTTGTCTGTTTTTCTCCTAGCGCTCACCACTAGGGTAGCATAGCATGCACACTTGTCTTGCCACTCTTTGCCTCCTGTGTTAGAACGTAAGCTCCTGGAGGGCAGGACGTTTGCTTTTGCTTTGTTTGTTACCAGGAGTCTCTCAATCTTTTTAGAGTTAAGAAACATATTTATAGGTGTACAACTGACTTGGGGAGTTGATGGCTGTGTCTATGCTGTGCACAGGAGTGGGAAGAATCCAGAGTTCATAGAGGTGCCTGGTGTGTATATGGCAGAAAGGAACGTGTTCCAATATACCACTTTGGTTTTACCTAGCACAGAACTGAAACCCTCCCTGGGAAAAGCCTTAGCGGACAACCTCGCTCCAGAGGGGGGCTGCATAGCATCTTGGCCCTAGCTCAATTTGCTTACTTGCTGAGGGAATGGGAGAGCTGGCTATATGATATATACTGGTTGCTCCTTTTTTTTTTTTTTTTTTTTTTTTTTTTTTCCTTTCTAATGACCACCAGTCATGACAAACAGCATAGCTAAAAGAGAGAACCATGAAGTTCAGTCTGGGACTGGAGAAAACCCCTTTGGGCTTAGAGTACATAGCCTAGGCTCTGTAGATCTAGAACCAGCTCTAAGCTATTGCTGTGAGAAGCAGAAGAACCCATGAGATTCATAGTTTCAGTCTGGAATGGAAGATCCTCTTCCTGCCTCTGGGTGCAGCAACATATAACTGGGCCCTGACAGAAAGATTCTGGGAAATTGTGGCAATTTTCCCTTCTCCTTATCCTCTCCCAGGTATCCTGTCTGGGTTGGTTCATCTGCTTAGAGGAGGCCATCGACTGTCAAGAGGATCATAAAGGATGTTATGTTCCCTGTTTCCTGGGAACTCCCCCACCCATCAGTATCTCCTTGCAGAGACAATTAAACTCTTTCTCTGGTCTTTAAACGTGGGAAAGGGGCTAACACTTGAGTAGGAAGGTCTTCCTGTAAGTCCAAGGATGGTTACTTCTCTAGATGGAGATAATGAAAAGGAAGGTATGAGACAGCCAGCAAGTCATCAGCCCTGTCACCTCCCTGTCTCTGATCAAAATACATTCATTCATTCCATGTCTAGGATGAGTCTTCCCAGGAACCCTGCTGCAACCCTCCCATAGCCAGATGTTTATAGTGAGGTCCTTGTAATTCACGAATTGGCTGCTGTCACTTTGGGAGAAGGCTAGGTGTTGAGAGCTGCATATGGAAATCCAATTGTGTCAAGCTCATTACAGCCTTATGTAATCTGATTGCCACTTAAAGCCAGACCTTTCTCATATGTGGGGTCTGTGTTTATTACTTTCCAGAGATGAAAGGCTCTCCTGTTCCCCTCGGAGGCACTTCTTTTAATCTTATCTCACTCTGAATTCTATTAAGGTGGAAGATTGTCACATCAAACACACCATATCATTTAATCATTCCCAAACGGGAAACAGAGGTTTGTGGAAGGTTTGCAAAACGCTATCTAGTATGTGAAACTGGGTGGTGCTCTCTGCTTGGCTTTGTGTTTCTGGGGGTTAGATCCTGGGACTTAGGCATATTCTTTTATTGCCAGCATCCAGTGCACGCTCTGCATTGAACAGAAATTCAAGCAAAGCTTGTGGAAGCTGAAGAAGGAAAACCAAGCCTGGTTGGCTGGAAGTCTATGCTTATTAAGCCCTTGTGATGGGTTCAGCCTTTGTTTGGACTGGTCAGCTTCCACTTTCTCTCAACCACAACCATAAAGACACCATGGAAGATGAGAGAATGTAGCAGCCATTTAGGCTGTTTCAAAGGCCAAACAATTAATAATGAACTGATTTAAACAATGGAGTTCATGAGGGGGAGAGCCACTCAGCCAGGGTGACAGAATGGATTAGAAGGGTTTCAGCTCATGTCTTTCAACTAGGAAGTCAAATACAAGGCATCCTTCTCCTTTCTCCTTGAGTTTGCCTCCTTTCAGGGACATTTCTAAACTTGAAGGGCAAAGCCCAACAGTCTGCATCTTCAACAGTGTGAATGGAGCTTTGGGGTTGGAGGAGAGATACCGTACAATACTGTCAGTGCAAGACATGGCCTGCCACCATTAATGATCAAGACAATTTGGGGACCCTTGCAGAACCTGGCACAACTGGCCTTTCTAGCCAGCAGCTGGCAGGGACTGCCTGGATATCTCTTTCCCTGAGAGAGGCAGAAGAAAGACAAGTGAGAAATGGAAACACAGGCAGTTGTACACTTAGACATTTCTCAGAGAGACTTAAGACTTATGTTGATGTAAACCCACACATAAGAATACTTCTTTGTAGTAACTGGAAACCGTTTCTATCCCAGGTGCTCTTCGGCAGGCAAACATCCAACAGAACACTACTGAATGAGAAAAGTGAATGGACTTTTGAATTTTTTTGAGACAGAATCTTGTTGAGTTACCCAGACTGGCTTGGGATGATGCTGTAGCCCAGGGATGATGCTGTAGCCCAGGCTGACCTTGAACTTATGATTCTCCTGTTTCAGCCTCCTGAGTATCTGGAATCACAGGCCTGTACCACTAGGTCTGGTATAAGGAACTAGTGATATAATTTGAATTAATCTCTGGGAATTATAGGGATGAAAAGGCCAACTCCCAAAAGTCACCAACTGCATGAGTACATTTATGTAACTTTTTTTTGAAATGAGAACATTTTCCAATGGAGCTCAGACAAATAGTTTCCAGGAGTAAGGGATGAGTAGAGATATAGCAGGAGTGTGACTATCATGTGGGAACTGGCTAGTTTTATAGTCATAAAGCTGATGAGTCTGTAGGAACCCACATGGATGAGGAAACTGTAACACACACACACACACACACACACACACACACACACACACACACAATCCAGGCAATCTGGGAAAGATGGGTAAGAGGGGTGGATTCATACCCTTTATATCTTTTGTGTACTGTATAGTTTTATAAAATGTTACCATTAAACAAAACTGGGCACAGTACAAAAAGGACTTATTTTTTTGCAACTACATCATCTATAATTATTCCAATAAAATATCCTGTTAAAAACAAAGGATATGGTGTTGGGGTATAGTTAAGGGATAGAATATTTTTGCCTGCCAGGCACAAGGCCCTGGGTTTAATCTCCAGCACAACAAAAATAAAAATGTAAGTAAAACTAAAATAATCTCCTTTGAGACCAAAAAATTGTGGGTGGAGTTGGGACAGGTGGTGGCCTCTCCAGGCCCTATCCCAGGTGCCTCTGCTAGACAACCTTGTGTCATCTCTGGTTCTCTTGGCCTAAGGAAGACAGTCCCTAAGGCTAGATATGATGACACTAATTTCTTTTGGAGCCTGAATCCACCAGGCACCTGATGTGGATCTTACTTTTATGCCCATGCAGCTCCCAGAAACGTGGTCAGCGCTAAGGGCTATCATTAGCTTCCTTGACCTCCTCCCTGTCCCGTCTCTCCACTTTCACCAAGTCCCCTGGGCCACCATGCCTTGGCTCACCATGGCAGACAAACTGCTGGAAGCAGACAATACTGTTGTTTTTTTTTTTTTTTTCCCCCTCTCACAGGAAGCCCAAGGTGAAAGAGACAGCACTGTTCAACCTTGAGGAGAAACAGTATCCAGGCTGGGGAAAACATTGTAAATATTTACTTATTTCAAAGGAGAGAGAAAGGGGTTAGGCAGGGCTCATCTTGAGTAGCTCAGAGAAGAAAGCCAGAGTTCGTCCTTCTGGACTTTAATTGAACACAATAAGCTTTACATAGTCCATGGGAAACATTCACTGTTCTAGTCTTTGCAGATGAGCTTCTCTGAGAAGTAGGAACAGTGTGGCCAGGGAGGGGAAGGTAGCTGCCTCTGGAGGGGCTGTCACCATTGAGCCTGACACTTCTGAGAACCCTACCAGCTGTGCAGAAAGCCTGGGTTTGTGCTTGTCCAGGTTTAAGGGATGTGAAGACAGAGTGTGCTGCAGGATTCCCTGGCCCTCAGGACCTCAGAGTTTGGATGTGGGAGCTCAGTTTTCCTCTGCTCCTTTATTTAGAACTGTGTGATGACTTTAGTCATTGTTCACATTACCAGCTAACTTGAGCTGGGAGAAATAAGATGATTTCCATGATTTCCATTTCTGAGTGTCTGGAAGTGGGGAGGCCCTGACCTTGGGTGAAGATAGATGCTGTAGGAGACAGAGGATGTAAGAGCTTACAGCTGTGACAACACAGACCAGGCACAGATATAGGGGGCAGGAAGGTAAGGAGGTGACATGAGGATGCACAAGAGGTCATATTTGGGATATGGGGACCAAGTAGGCTTAGTATATGATTGTATTATTACTGTTCTACAAATATTGTTATGGAACCATTGTTTTAGAATTAACTTAAACTTGTGGCTTTGCTACAGTCAGTACACACAGACCTATTCTGAGGTTCTAGATTGCTTTGTTCAGTATTAGGCCCTGCTACCCAGGGGTTATTCTTGCAAATGGGAGCAAGTCATCTAGCTGTGGGGCTTGTCACATGGAAGGTGAGTGTCTGTAGAAGTGGAGGGATGGAATAAAGACTAAATCACAGAGTGCAAACTCCTTGTGGTGTCTAGGTTAATCTTCCCACAAGGTGCCCTCCGTCCTTTGTACCCAGAGACTAACCATGACCTCAGAGCCAGAGACAATAAGGGTACCATTTTTGGCCTGGATCAAAAGGGAAGTAGAAACTTCCCCCCACATATCCCTTTGCTTCGAGTCTTTGCTAACTTGACTGAATTTAGAATCACCCAGGAGACTGGTGAGGCACACACACCCTGGGAGTGTCTGTGATGGTGCATTTATAGAGAATTAACTGAGGAAGACCCACTTTACTGTGAGCGGTACTGTGGGCTGGATCCAGATGAGAGATAGAGAGATAGAAAAAAAAATTCCCTCCTCTTGGTCACCTGTCCACTAAGAGATGAAGACCAATCTCCACCACGTGCTCCCCCTGTTGCCATGAAGTTTGGGGCCCACCAGACAGACTAATTCTTCTGAAACTGTGAGTCAAAATAACTATTTTTTCTTTTAATTATGGATGACAGGCATTTGTTACAACAACACAAATGTTAACAATACAGGACCCCAGCAAAAGTCATTGGCAGGAACCATCTCTGGAAGGTGCCTTGGGGTTGGTATTGCTGTGCTGTCCCAGAGACAAGCCTGAAGATCAAGTGCAAAAGAGGCTTCTGAACATGGCAGCCTGTAGACATCTGGCCCTCAACAGGATATTAAAGTGGCAAAGTTATGGGATCGGAAAAGGAGGAGCCTGGAGCTGCTTGGTGGCCATGGCTGGGCATGTGGAAGTGGAGCTATGGGCCAGTTCAACAGACTACTTAAAAGGTCAGTCCAGTTATATGTCAATAGTGAGGGTTGTTGTATTCTGGAGCAGCAGACTGGGGCTGGAACTGCGGACTTTGAGGAGGAAGAGACAGAAGTTGCCTTATCTTTCCAAGCCAGAGGGAGCCTGTGTGGAGATCCTCCAAACAATCGAGGCATGAAAGCTTGCTTGAGTCTCCCACCCTTCCTACGCTTCCCACCCTCAACCCTGTTTCTAACGCTTACCTTTTGTGCCCTGCGTTTATCTGCTCTCTGGTTCTGGTGGTAGATCCTGCTAAAGTTGGAGACTATCACAGGGACTGGCAGAGCAATGACCAGGACACCACTCAGGGAGCAGATGGAGCCAAATATCTTCCCCGCGATTGTCTTAGGCACCATGTCCCCATATCTGTAAGAGAGAGGGAGAGGGATGAGGGGAGAGAGAAGATGTAAGGAATTAAGGGGCCATTTGGGAAACAAGTGAGTCTTCCCAGCCAATCATTCACTCACTCACGCAGTCATTCATTTATTCATCAATATTTTATAGCACCTACTATACACGGGGTTCAGTGATACAATCTTAAAGCAAAAGATGCGAAACTTTTATGGAGCAAATTTTCTATAAAAAAGGCCATACATGTAACCAGACCAAGAAAGACAAACATTGCATGTTCTCACTCATATATGGGTTTTAGCATCAAGTTTTAGATTTGCGTTTAATTTGGAATATCTGGAGAATCCAGAAAATCCAGAAAACCCATTGGTGGGGAGAGGGAAGGAAGATCTTAAGGGAGGGAAGATAGTGGAACATAGGTGATATGAAGGGGAAAGGGAATAACCAGGAGGGGAAATGGGAAGAGGGATAAAAGGGTAGGACAAGGAGGGGGGGTGAGGGCTGACTAACTTCAAGGATGTTTGAAGAAGTGATATGGAAACCTCCTATTTTGTAAGCTTCATATATATGTGAGTATGAATGTATAGATATATGTGCATATACATATATTATGGCTACAGTTGTCTGCATAGGGATGAATGCTCCTCCCAGAAGTTACAGGTTGCCAAATAAAGTACTCAGTGCTAAGTATACGCTACCTCTCCCTGAGTTGTCAGTTAAGGATGTCCTGGAGCCCCACCCCAAACAACACAGCCTATTGCCATTGCTTTTGGTTGATCACCAGAACTTGGTAAGATTCTGTTGCTGAAGACACCATACACATTGGTCATAGGGCATGGAGAAATCAAGTTGGTACTGACCAGAAAGCTTCCTACATGCCAGCTGGCTTTCACAGCACTAGAATGTGCTATGCAGGCTTTGGGTGGGAGTGGGAATATGAGGAGTCAATAACAGTCTTATTCAATTGTGAACTCTGTGAACTGCAATAGTGGCCAGCATGGCAAGAATGAAAAGTTATGGGGGTAACCAAGAATTTGGTTACAGAACTCTCCACCCCTAAATGAGGAGCTATGGACACTTGGTGGCTTTTGGTGGGGAGAAACAGTCTTCTGAGAAGATATGGCTTTTAGTAGGTCAACCACAATCCAGGGGTGGCCCCACACATATATGTGTATGTGAACAGCACAAATTGGCCAAGCTCTGTAAACCTGGCCAAGAACTCATGGTTGAGGAGCTCATAGGTCACAGGTGTGAACTTACTGGTGTTATTTCTCTAGAAGGGCATAGTCTCAAAATGCCCTCTAAATTCATATCTCTGTACCCATAGATCAGTGAAGCTCTCAGACAACATTGGAGAAGTTTCCTTGTGAGTAGATGGTGGCTAATGCAGAAACTCACAGCTGGTCAAGGTTCAGAGAATAAGTGACCGTGGAGTGCTCAGCCACCAACGAGGCACCCATACCATATTTCATTCTCAAGGCTCAGGGGCCATCATGGATGAGGGGGCAGGAAGATTATAAGACCCAGAGGTTGGTGAAGACTGAGACAAGAGTGTCTTTTGGCCACAACAGAATGGCAGCACTCATGAACACACAGCAGCTCTGTTTGCCTCCATAAGATCAAGCTAGCCAGCATTTTAGCATGGTGTGAGATGTGGTTCATGAGTCCCTACCCCTAACTGAGGAGATATGGATATTTGATGGTTTTGGAAGAGGGAGGGAAGGGGGAGGAGCAGTCAATTTTCTTTGAAGATACAGTTCCTGGTAGGTCAACCGTACTCCAGCGAGTGACCCCACACCCAGAAATATATGGACAGCACAAATTGGAGTTGATGAATTATTAAATTAATTTAATTAATTAATAAATTAAATTAACAACAACCAGAAAAGAGGGTGGGGATCTGGGGCAGGTAGGAAGGTGGGGGATGTGTGCTGGTTAGTTTTGTGTCAACTTGACACAAGTTAAAGTCATTCTGGAAGAGGAATTCTCAACTGAGAAAGTACATATAGACAAGTCTGTCCAGTGTTTTCTTGTGATTGATGTGGGAGGGTCCAGCCTACTTTAGGTAGTGCCAGCCTTGGGCAGGGTGTCCTGAATTGTATAGCAAAGCAGGCTGAGCAAACCATAAAGAATGAGCCAGTAAGCACTGTTCTTCTACGGCTTCTGCTTCAGTTCCTGCCTTCATGTTCCTGCCTCGAGTTTCTACCTTACTTTCTTCTGTGATGGAGTGTGATCCAGTAGTTGTGAGCTGAAATAAATCCTTTCCTTCCCAGTTTCTTTTGATCATAGTGTTATATTACACCAACAGAAACTCTAACTAAGACAGAGTGCATCTGGGTAAATGTGATCAAAATACATTGCATGGAATTCTCAGTGAATTCAAATATTTATTAAAAGTCATCACAACTCTTTGGCATGCAGCTGTTTCCACAAAGAGAACAGAGGTAAATGCTGTGGTAAGGAAAGCCTCACTGAGATGGCATGTGAGGTGTAACTTCCAGCCACATAAAACACCTGAGCCTGGGTGTACCTAGCAGAAATATGGGAAAGTAAAAGGTAATAAAAATATTTCATTCCAGAAATTGTCAAGGGGCCCTCAGCACTGCACTGAGAGAGAGAGAGAGAGAGAGAGAGAGAGAGAGAGAGAGAGAGAGAGAGAGAGAGAGAGAAAGCATTATAACTGGAGGCCAAGGAGACAGGCAGGACATAGCATTCAGTGTCTAATATTTGGTGGTAAGGGGTTTGGATTTGAGTTCAAACACACGAAGAGCCACAGGTGAGTTTGAAACAGAAGAACAGCAGGCTCTCACGTATGATAAAAAATATAAAAAATAAACTCAGTGTCTGCTCATGTGAAGATTATAACTTACAAAGCTCTTATGAGTTTACCTTACATGAGCCTACAAGTTCTTGAATCTTCAAATGCTTTGCCACATTTTCCACATGCAGGAACTGAGACCTGGGGATCTTGCAAGGCTTGGCTGTTATTTAGCTGGGATGAAGCCTGTCCCCTTGAGTATATCTCCTTCCTACCAACCATACTGTCTTAGATATGTGCATGGTCTCTGACACTCAACCCCTTTAGCCACTTTGGAATATTGCTGGATTCTTTTCAGTTTGGAACTCTCTCCTTCACATGCTGGCTATTATCCTTGGAACCAATGTGGCCCTCGCTCAGTCCCAGGCAGGCTGGCTCAAGCCTTCTTTCTGCAATCAGTAAGATGCTTTCCACAGAGGTTATGTGGCCTCTTGTTTACTAAGATAACTCAAAGGCCATATGAAGGAAAGAGCTATGACAACACCCTTGGTCAAAGCCATGAGCCCTTTGTTTGTGTAGCAGAAAAAGTCTCAACATGTCCAGGGATCTTTGCTTTTAAGAAGAGGGAATTTGAAGGTACTGATTCTGAGGGGACCCAGATTCTGAGGGTTTCCATGGAGGATGTGGAAGGGGACAGTTAGCCATTTTAAAAGCGTACGGTCCTTACCCGAACATCTGAGAACTGTGGACAGGGCAGGTGTTGGGTGAATGAATAAATCAATGAATGGCTTCATGGAAGTTCCTCCATGGACTATCCTCCAAGGACTGTTTTCCTCCAATCATTCAGGGGCTTGGGTTCTGGCTTTAGTTTCCCAGGTACCTACTACCATTAGAACCTGCTCCCATCCTTTTGTGACCACATGTGCCTCTCCAGCCTTGACACTCAGGAAGGTGGGGAGGCCAAGAGCTTGGTTTTTTGTTTTTGTTGTTTTTTGTTTTGTTTTTGTTTGTTTGTTTTTTCACCACGATGATTAAACTCAAGACCCTCCTAGGCCACCATTAAATAACGGTATGATCTTGGAGGGTCATTACTTTGGGCCTCAGTTCCTTTTATAAAATGAAAATAACAAAAGTAACCAATGTTGGAATCTCACTGTGAGATATGTAGCCTATAAATATTAAACTCGATAGCTTTTCTGCAGGCATTCTAGGAACTATAATTTCTGTCAGGGGGGTTCTAAAAACAGTTCATTGTTTCAAGTCTACATAATCCCAGTGATGCAGATAAGCAATAGACAGTGTTAGTTGAGATTTTCAGATGACATGATTGACTGAAAAGTGCCTGTGGGCCCACAACCACCAATGAAACTAAAGATGGTAAGAGGGTGGACGACTAGAGTCAGGAAGGTTGCATTTGAGAGTGGCTGAGGCTGTTGAAAATGCTAAGTAAAACACAGTGGTTGTTTTAAACATTTGAAGAGATAGAACAAGGTTGGGGGAGCTATACCCACTGCTGGGCAGATGGTCTGAGGGAGCAGATGATGGAGAAAACAGAATGATTCGCCTTCAAGGGACTTCTGCCTTCTCTGTTGAGAGAAATGCATTTCATCTGAAGAAGACTGGGACCAAAATGGATCAGAAGGGTCTGGAGCCTGGAATCTGGGAGGGAGAGTGGACAAGTGCCTAGCTGGACTCAGTAGACTCCCATCAGAGTTGCTCTTGGCCTCTGTCCTGGAGATAGGAGGGAGTACAAGTGGGTTTGCCGAACCACTGCCTGTGATCTCTGATCACAGCACAGCAGAGACACACCAAGAGGCTAGAGCTGGAAGGTTGCTTTGTTGGTAGTTTTACAGCGATAAACCGCAGAGCAACGGGCTTGGCATCCATCACGCCTGCCATCAGATTGCTGGCAGAATTCAAAAGCAGATTATTAAGCGGACAGCTTGCGGACGCTTGGAAAATGAGCTGTGTTTGGTTTGTTATGCACGCATCTTGCCAACTTAACCTTATTTCTTGTTTTGAGAGTGAGGTTAACTGGCTGGCAGATCAGGGGATGGCTAGAGGCCCAGCATCAAGACTTTGCAGGATGCCTTCTTGCCCCCGTTCTTCATGTCCTTGACAAGCTAGAGGAAGTGGTATGGATGGAAGAATGGCTAGGAGGGGCCGAGTGGCCATCTCTAGCACCTTTTCAAGATAACCAACAGTGCTCCTATGCCAGCTAAGGAAGCACACGGCTCTGTTAGGAGGGCTTCCTTTA